CCCGACACCGTGCCAACATGGGCGAGCCCCCCGGGTTGCCCATGATCCTGTTGAGCCGGACCCGGGACAAAGGCGAACCGGTCTAAAGGTCAGGCTCGGCATGGCTTTCCTGCCCGTGGTGAGGCTCGTTCGCCTTTCCTGCCGTCTCCGGTAGAGCGAAACTCTGCTTCTTTCCACGAGGTGCTAACGGGAGGAACCGTGACTCAGCCCCCCCAATGTGAGATGTCTGCCTTGCCAGCTCCCACCCTTCTACTGCCAGCTGGGCCTTCTTTCTGTCCACATTCGGAGTGCCACCCTCGCTATGGATGGTGAGGATCCTCGTCGTGCGATGCTCGGCCTTCCTCCCGGCATCCGGGTGTCTTTCATCATCCCAACAACTGGGGTCCGGGAAGCCTCGTCTCCGTATCTGCGCCTGTGATGGTTGTCTGTTCTCTTTCAACCCCCCCCCCGGCACTGTTCTTGGTGGGGAGGGTGGCGCTGCCCTCATCGGCCCCCACCTCCAAGCCTCCGTCCTCTTGCATGCCACCCTGAGCACTAACCCCCTTGAGCACGCATGCACACCTTCTCCTTTGTGAGTCAGCGTGCACTGCAGAATTAAGCCAGTTTCATTGTGGTTGTTCCTTTCTTGAGATGGGGATCCCAAGAATTTCACTTTTCCCTAAAGGGTTTTGGGAACTGCAGCTTTCCCTTAGGATCCCGAGGACGGCAGTTTTCAACTAGGATTTCTAAGGTCAGAAACAGACGGTAAAGACAGCCTGTGATTAGAAGAAGAAAATCCTCAACTAATGAAAGCATTTCACTATCATGGCATGAACGTCTCTCGTCTCCTGAAAGATGCAAATGAAATTGCTTCACTTGGTGGTTGGTTTTCAGGCCTTAAGCACGAGATTTCTTCGAAGTCCGATTTCACAAATGCCTAAACCGGTTCTCTCCTACGACAATGTTTTTTTCCAGCCCTAATAATGGGCTGTCTATAATGTCTGCTTCTGGCCTAAGCGGGGTATTTCCACACCTTTACAAACTAACTAATGACAGACTTCTTTGGGGGAAAGTAAGATAATTTTGAACACACAACCCCCAGTTACAGGTTTGTTGCCGATGATGGCCCTGTTTTGTGGGGTGCCTGGAAAGACAGCATTTAGGCAACAATTTTTAAAGAATGCTAGTAACTGTGTCTCACTGTCTAAAATAGAGGTCTCTGTCTTCATATCCCAGGTAGTGAAAGAAATGGGAAAAGAAAAATAAGTACAGTACAATATGACACTCGTATCTGCAGAAACAATATCCGTGGTTTCACTTATCCGCAGGCTGAAATTTAAAATACTGTATTAAAAAAATTAGAAATACATATTTTCATGATGTACTTATTAGACCTAGCCACTAGGTGGGAGCAGAGACCGAGCTATGAATTGTTGTTGAAGACTACATATGGTCTCTGCCTCCCTCTAGTGGCCAGGTTTAATAAATACACAGTGAAAAATACATACTGTACTGTATTATTCTTTTACCATGCTATTTATAGTGTTCCCTATTATCTGCAGTTTTCAGTATCCACAGGGGGGGCTGGAAACATTTCCTCCACCAATATGGGGGTCCCGCTGTATGTGTACCGGATTTGAGTTCTCTCTTCGTTAGACTTCCTTCAGGATCTGTTTGGTCAAATGAGGGATCATTTGGCAGCTGTTGGCGGAGTGTGGGAATCGGGTACCCATCTCTTCCCATCTTCCATCCTTCACTTCACAAATGTGCCTGTTCTTGACTCTGTATCTTGGACGTATTTATTTGACTTTGGGGGTGGGTTTGGGGTGGAATGGCAGGGTCTTGTCTTCCAGAAATTAAAACCAAAATGACACAAGAGTTTTATCCTGTCTCTGTGCTTGTCTTAATCTTCAAGGGATGCGTATATGCACAAACTACGTCTGCGTTTGTAACAAGTATTGATCCAGGGAAGGCCTACCCGAGACATTTTGCCACCTGAGGCCATGAGCTAATTTGAGGAAAAGGCTTATATTTGCAATGAACCACCAATGCCCTTTAAAAAAAAATTTTTTTAATCCCCCTTCTGACTCCTAGCATTGTTTGCTGGCAGAGTAAATGCTGAAGGGATTATGGGATTTGTAGTATTTATTTTTTTTTATTTTAACCACTTCAGAGACTGCTTGTTGGTCATGTCAGGGATCAAGCATCAGGGTTATTTTTCTCCACAAAATTATAAGGTCCACCGGTGTGGTTAGATAATTTTAGATTTATTGACAAAAGGTCTTCATGATGTCTTATGTATAATAGTAATCCGATTCATTTCAAACATTCTGAAGAAGGGAGCTTCTTTAGACAACCATCTGGAAATTATTTTATTGATTTCAAAATACGCTGTATTGAGGAAAGCGATGCTGTTCGTTTTGCTGAAGTCAGGCCTGGATTTTTGCCCCGAACTTGTTTTTCCGTGAGAGTTCCAAAAGCTGCCTGTTATGGTATCGATTTGAGACGTAATTATTACTAAGAAATGTATTACTCGTTCTTCTTTTTAGATGTTTTTGCACACGGATCACATAATAGCCTTTGAAATTTAAAAAAAACGGGGGGGAAGCCTCTTTTTAGATGTTTTTGCACACGGATCACAGAATAGCCTTTGAAATTAAAAAGGGGGGGAGCCATGTGGTCATTACAAAATGCAAATACAAGAAAAGGCAATAACTTTATAGGCCACTGAAAAAAAGTTTTTAAAAATAAAAAAATAAAGGTAGATGTGCCATATGAAATTCATCAAACGTTTGGAGTTTTCGTACTTGCTTCGAAGCGGGATTTATCCACAAAAGCTCGCCAATTGTATGATTTTTATTTTTTTTAATTAGTGGCTTGCTTATAAAGGTATCCCCTATTCCTGCATAGCCTTTGTTTCTGTTTATGTAGTTTACTTCATCCTCAACGTACACTTGATCCCACCCCAGATAGCAGAAGTTAGAAATGTGATTTTTTAAAATTTTATTTTATCTCACTCATATAGGATCCTTTACCATAGGGAAGAAATCCATAAAGCAGAGGCAGAACGGTCTACAAACAAAATCCAGGTTCTTAGGATCCAGGAAGACGCTAGAAATAGAAGCCCTATAAATGCAACGTGTCATTGAAAACCAGAAAACAGGTTCCCATTTTTGACACAAAATCTGGGCAGCAAATTCACCCCCGTGAAGTTGCTTGCTTTCAATGGGCCTTGTTCTGTTTGCAAGGCGGGGGAAGCAAAACCCTGGCTTTAAAGCTTTTTGGTTTTCCCTGCCTATTGATGAAACTTGGCAACATTTCCTCTCTCAGATTTTTTTTGATAAAAAAAGATTGCCACCGTGAAGTTCAACGATATGTCTGCTGTCTGGGGGGGGGGCAGGTTTTGTGGTGTTTATCTTCTCCGTTGGTTTCCATGTTTTAAGGTTGCCTTTTGTAGCTTGATAGTCTATGGATGCAGTTTTATTTTGCACAACCCTGCTTTTAAACAAGAATAGGATTTTAAAAATGATTTCTTTCCATAAGCCTGGTTTCAAATCCCGTTTGGTGGAGGTTCATGTAAAGCATGCAGACCTTCCCTTAATGTGTACTTTTATCCTTTACTGCTTCTTCTTTTAAATTGTACTTTATGTTGTTATTTGCAACAGTGAACATAAAAAATCGGCTCCTGCAAACAAAGCCATGGCTTCTTTTATCGAGTCAATCCGTCTCACGTTGGATCTTCCTCTTTTCCTGCTGCCTTTTCTTAGCTTTATTATCTTTTCCAGTTCATGATCCTTGCCTTCTCATTCTAAAAAATATTACTTTTGCATTAAACAGCAGGGACATAATTAATTTAAAAACAATATTCTGAAAGTAATAATTAATTAATTAATTAATTAACTTTCTAACTTGCCTTTTTCCTTAAAAGGACCCAAGGCAACTTACATCAATAAAAGACAACATTAAAACTAATAACAGTGAGTATACAATTATTAAAATGGATCCACTCAGTACCATATTAAAAAGCTGAAGCAACACCAAAGTACATTGTATATAATAAGGGTCGACAATCCATTTAAAAAAAAACACACATTCAGCAGCCGAAATTCACTCAGGGAAAGCTTGCCTGGAGAGAACGGTCTTTGCCTGCTTGCTGAAGGATAGCAAAGATGGGGCCAGCCCGGTTTCCAGTGGCAGGGAGTTCCGCAGTCCCCAACAAGCGCCCCTTGGGATCGAGAGCAAGGCCTCTTAACACTTGAGCAGGCTCTTAACTGGAGGACAGCAAAGATGGGGCCAGCCCAGTTTCCAGTGGCAGGGAGTTCTGCAGTCCCCAACAAACGGCCCTTGGGATCGAGAGCAAGGCCTCTGCTGATAGTAGACAGAAATTAACTGGAGAGACGGTGCTAAAAATTGCTCAGACCCAAGCCATTTAGGGCTTTATAGGTTAGAACCAGCCCTTTGAATTGTGCCTGGAAATGGATCGGCAGCCAGTGGAGCAGCTGTAACAGGGAGATGATGTGATCCCCGTGAACAGCTTATTAGCAAGATCGCAACAATCCCCCCCCCCCCAAAAAAGGCTTCTGGAAAGCACATGAATTTAATAAATCATGTGGATTATCACTTCCAAGCTGCTTGACTTTTTGAAGACGTGGAGCAAGGAATGGAAAGCCAGAGCTGATTTTTTTTTGGGGGGGAGCCCTCTTGCTCAGCTCATTAAGTCAGCAGCCTACTCAGATCCAGGAGGGTACAAAACTCATATGGTGTGCCTTTTTGGCAGATACACCACCGCTGTGCAATACCTAAAGCTAAAGCAGACTCTCGCCAAGCGCAATGGTAGGAAGCAAAACAGTGGAAGCAAAACTTACCGCTCCCACTGCAAATATGTTTAATTTTTTTTTAAAGGCTTGCTCCGAGCATTGAAATGTGTCTATTAATCTGGGTTGATTCAACAGGGAGTACAACGAGGCTGTGGCAAACCTAACTGTTGTTGTTGAGTTCAGAGTCTGAGAGAGAAGACGCATTCTGGAGCCAAAAGACAGGCGAGGGGAGGGGGGGGAAAGCCACACGGTGCCCCCAAGGACTCGTAATGCGCCTTGCATTCTATTTAATAGGCTCTCTAATGATTGGGGGAAGAAAGTGGTCCAGCAACATTTCCAAGTAAGACAGAAAGCTTGTTCTGGCTCCGATGGATGCAATTTTGCCGCTGGGATGCCAGCCAGCTATAGCTGACGGTGGGAAGTGTTGAAGGCTTAAAGGTTTATATAGGATCAGACCAGAAAACAGGGGCGGCCCAAGCAATTTTGCTGCCCGAGGTGGAGGAGAGAAAGAGACCAACCTTGGATACGGAAACTGAACGGAATATGAATAATGCTAGCATCCTTCATCAGCAGCAGGCTGGAGGTAAAAGGGGATGTTACGATGAACCCCCCGGCCAGATCCGCTTGAGTACTATAAATCTAAAACCCAGGTAAATAGATTGTTCCATGTGACTGGCGAGTTTTGTTTCTACCAGGAACGGGTCTTTTGTAAAGCTAATGACTCTTGATGGCCTCTTTCAGGCAGAACTGTCCTCCGACGCTCTGCATTAATAGGGGTAACTCACAAAAATATACAGTTCCTTGGGGAGTCCATTTCTCCCCAAATGTAAAAAAAAAAATTGAAGGCAAGCTTAGGAGGGAGCAGAGAAATCCGAGAGGGTGTGGCAAGATGATGAAACAGACCCCATTAGTCTTAACAGCCAGGGAGGTTGACCCCATGAGCCCTGCCTCCACTACCCCACTGTCCACGCCATCAGATCAGAGCTACAAAAGTCGTTTTAGAGAGAGGGAGAAATTTTGGCTACCTTGGCCCAGAAATAGAAATTTCAACTTGACATTTAGCTATTGACATTCTCGCCTCTTTCCCCCCCCCATCGCCACCTCAGCTTCTGCAAGTGTTACCATGGAAAATGGCTATGCTTCAAGAGAGAGACGAGCCAGGAAAATTAAGATGATGGTAGGGGAAACTTTAAGTTAAGACCAGACGTTTCCAGAGGGGAAACAATCTGATCCATTGGTTTATTTATGCTTGCAACGGCATTTTTAATTTTGTTGTTTTACTGTTTTTTTTACAGTCATTCTGAGATCTTGTGTAGCAGAAGAGATGATGCTGATGCTGATTACTTGGATGCGGAGGGTTAAAAAAACAGATTTGGGATGAATTGAGAAGAGAGTGCTCTGATAAAGCTGGAGAGTTGATGGCCCAGCTTTTGTGGCACATAGATATTAGAGCCTTAATTTGGTTTTTAAAGACCTTTATTCTCTCTCCAACAAGCCCTTAGGAATGGTAGCTCGAGATGAGGAATTTCCCAGAACCCTTTGCAGGAAGCCATGACAGTTACGTTAACAGAAGACCAAGAAATAAATTTTTGCGGCGCTGGTTTTATTTAATTTTGTTAAATTTTCTACCCGGTTGTTCGAGCTGGTTCACATTGATCTCTTCCTTCCTCCGTTTTATCCCACGAGAAACAGCGCGTTCCGACTTTTCCCAGAGAGTTGCCCCATCATGACTGAGCTTCGTGTCTACATGAGAGATTTGAACCCAGGACTCCTGGCCTCGGAGAGGCACTCTGACTTCTCATGAACTGTCTGTGAGCTCGACTGCTGGCGAAAGGCGCAGGAGCAGTTTAGAAAGCAAAAAAAAATAGTTGGTAGCTGGAAGAGAAGGCCAGCAAACAAAGAGAACACTGGGTTCCATTGTTTTCTGTTGCCATGGCACTCTTCCACGGGCTTCTGTTGTGGGCAAAATATTCTGTTTTTTTCTCTCTTTATTTCGGAAGAGCTTTACATGTTCTCATAAGCCAGAGGTGGGAAAGCGTGGCGTGGTTGAGAAAGAGGTGTGTTCAGCGACCGAGGTGCGCAACCCGGCCGGCCCTATCGTTGGGCAGAGGCAAGCCCCAGCCTCAGACAGCAAACATTAGGTGGCAACAGATGGTTCATGTTGGCTTTATTACTTCTGCTTCAAAGAATGTGGCAGGCTTTGGGGTCTGTACGTGAAGGTTGTCAGGCCGACCTCGTCTCTTCCCTTGAGACTTCAAGGGTAAAACCCAAGACAGAGGAGCTAGTCCTCATGATATAATGAGAAGACACCCTTTTCAGGGTTTTCCGAGTAGAGAATACTCAGAGGTGGTTGGCCAATCCCGTCTTCTGGGGCCACCTTGGGATTTTGCAGCTTGCCCAAGGCTACGCAGGCTGGTTCTTGGCCCAGGAGGTCCAATGGGGGGATTTAACTCCTGACCCCTGGCTCCACAGCTGGGTCTTCTATCTAACGCACTGAGCTTTCCAGCCAGCTAGACCTGCATCTTGGCCATCTGAATGTGGAAATGGGTTTAACGGTGGGGGCTCCCAGGTAAATGGGCCCAGAATCCAGACCGACCCTGGCTCATATGGCAACCCACAGCATGTATCTTGTTAGCCAGACAGAGGGCAAACAGGATACCTGGGTTCAGTGTCCCTTCACATACCAAAATAAAACTGGTTTCTTCCTGCATCATTGCTCGCCCCCAAGATTTCTCTTCCTCCCTAGAAATCTGGGGATACCTCGCAAATCCCTGAGATGTCAACTAGTGGCTTCAAACCTCTCAAGCCTTTCACTTAAGCGAGGGCTTTCCTCGTTTGCTCGGAAATAACGTGTTTGATTTAAGAGGGCAACAACACTAAACATATTGTCGTTGCTGTTTCCTCTAAAATACCCGGTCCTCAACAGCCCTGGTCACCTCATGCAAACTCAAAGCCTGTGGTTTCCTTTATGGAATCAATCCATCATATGTTTGATCTTCCTCTTTTCCTGCAACTTTTCCTAGGCTTATTATATTTTCCAGTTCCTGCTCCTGGCCTTCTCGTCCTAAAAATAGTACTTTTGTGTTAAACAGCAGGAGCACCATACACTTAAAGACAATATTCTGAAAGTAAAGTTCAATTTATTTTATTTATGTATTTAAAAATTTTTTTACCCCACCTGTCACCTGAAAAGGACCCAAGGCAGCGGCTGACATCATGAAAAGGCCATATTAAAGCTTGACAACAGCGAGTAAATAAATACTGTACTAAAAAGGATCAAAAAAAAAGTTTACCATATTAAAGCTTGACAACAGCGAGTAAACAAATACTAAAAAGGATCAAACCAAAAAAGTAAAAAAATCATAAGCAACACCAAAAGCACATTCAAAGCATTATGTTTAATGCTTTAGCATTAATATTTATGCATTAATGATGTTACTTTTGAGCTGTTCATTCATTTTTACGAATCCATCTGCTTGTCCTCTTAATGCAAAAGTACGTATTTTTCGCTCCATAAGACGCACCTTTCCATAAGACACACCAATTTTTTAGGAGAAGAAAACAGGAAAATATAATCTGTTTTCTTCGCTCCATAAGATGCACAGACTTTCCACCCCCCCCCTGTTTTGTGGGAAAAAAGTGTGTCTTATGGTGCGAAAAATATGGTAACTATTTTTTTATGTTCGTGCATGGAATATAATACAGTAATGCATTATTTTCAAAATTCTGGCTTCTGCCTCAGGCTTCTTCAACTGGCCTTAGGTGTGGAAAGTTAACACTATTATAACTGAAAGATGAATCAGGGAAATTCTAAATGTAGTCTAAACCCAATTTCTAGTCCAACGAGAGTCGATTCATTGAATCAGTGTGATGTCCATGAGAGTTGACTCATCTTTCAATCATTTATTCTAGCTGGGACTGGAAATTGAAGGCACCTTTGAGCAGAAGACTTGAGAAAGAAGTCATGTGGACACAGTTCTTCCCTGCTATGAGTGGTTATATTGTATTTCTATTGAAATTGGAGTAATTATCCCCAAATTTGCATGCGTGCCTATGATGTCGTTTCTTTTTATCCTTTTGGTGGGGGATAAGCGTTAAGAGTTTTTGCAACCTCGCAGGCTGCCCTGAATAGTTTTGGTGGGGAGGGACCTCTCCGTTGTCTGTGGGCAGTCTATAGTCTCTATGTAGAAGTCTGTTGCTGAAAGCAGTCTTGTTTGTCTGTTTGATCTGTTCAACTGTAAGTAAAGAAGATGGTTTTAATTTTTGTCCTCCTGCTGATGTCTCAGAGTGAGCGATTGAGACTCTTAAGTGCCAGTTAATGAGGAAAAGAGTGGACTAATCCGGGGAATTTGTTCTGCTCTGTGAATCCCTGCACTTCTGCTGCAGATCTGCAGGAATTTCGCCAGAAATTCAAAACTCTGCAACAATAGTCACCCCAGAACTCTTGCAGTGATACAGAGGGGTTTGGATGGGTATAGATGTGTACCTAAATTTCTATCTTCTCTTTCCTCAAGAGGCGTCTGAATGGCAGAAAATACGAATAATATGGAGTTACCTGGTGCTTCTGAAGACACTGCAAAACAGGTGATTAGAACCTGGGGTTTTTTTAATAGGGAAAAGTAATAACAAAAAAATATCCTTGATTTCAGAATGATACGCAGATTTTTGAAACAGGGACTTTTGGGGGAAATTTAAAATATGTTTTATTGGGCACATATTTTCACGGACCTAACCCACTTCAGACACATGGAGTATGCTATAGCAATCTGTAACCTGCTGGAAGACTGTTGTTGAAAGCAGTCATGTTTGTCGGTTTGATCGGTCTAACTGTAAGTAAAGTTGCTATAGACACCCTGGTTCTGATTATGGGGGTGGGACAGAATTAAAAGGGCAATTCTATCATTAACACTGGTTATAAATCTTCAGAGGGCTGGTGAGCATAAACACATCAGCAATGGTGAGGTCAATTACAACACGCAATTATCAGTCTGAGATGTTAAAGCAATGGTTTGCACTTATTAGAGAGGACCTGTTTTAGCCCAAGGCAGAGGTACTGTAATTAAAAAAGAAACTCTGATCTTTGCAAGGTTGTGACAATTCCTGCACAAAAGAGCATCTGTTGTTCTGTGCAAGATTTCCAGGAAAAGGCTTGCAGAAAACAACAGACAAAAATTGTATTTTATTTTATTTTTAAGAAAATTATAATTTTTCAGAGGAGACCAGGAAATCTCTCACTGGTGCAAGGGGAAGTCTTAGAAGGAGCCTCATCACTTATGAGAAAAATCACTGAGTCTTTTCTCCAAATGCTCTCTCTATCCCTATTAAGGCGCCATTATCTCATCATTGTGGTAGTTTGGGCATATTGTGAGAAGACAGGATTCTAGAAGGCAGCAGGAAAAGAGGAAGACCAAAAAATGAGATGGACTGACTCCCGGCCTAAAGGAAGCCACAGGCTTGAGTCTACAAGAGCTGAAGAGGGCTGTTGAGGGCGGGACATTTTGGAGATGGCTCATTCATAGGGTCACTTTGAGTCGGAGGCAACTTGACAGCGCACAACGCTGATAATCATCTCGATGCAAACTGCCAGGTGGAATTTAGGACTGCTGTGTCTCTGTTCTTAAAATAAGGCAAGGTAGAAAGGTAATAATAAATTGCATAAAGCCCGTTAACTGATTGAGCTCATTTGTTGTGACACTGCAGGATGAGGCCGAGGCTGTCAAGACAGAGGAGAAGATGGAGCGCCTGATGCTGGATGAATTGGAGAAGTTTGCCCTGGAAGGGGAGGCGAAGGAGAATGGAGAGGGGTTAACCCTGCAGGATGCAGAGAAGGGAAAGATCCAGGAAGAAAAGGACCGCCCTGCAATTCAGGATGAGGAAGCCCCAGAACGCAGAGAAGAGACGAAGCGGGAGGGACCGCCAAAGGAAGAATGGGACACTCTGACTCTGCAGGATGATGGCCTGCCACTCCGGGAGGAGAAAGAGGAGAAAGAGAAAGAGGGAAGGGGCCTTCTTGCCTGGCAGGCCAAAGAGGAGACCCCGGCAGACGAGGAGAAGACCGAGGCAGAAGAGGAGCCCCGACTCTCAATGGATGACATCCTGAACATCATGAAAGAGGAGGAAGAGGAAGAGGAAGATCAGGAGGAAGAGGAGGCAGCTCCCCAGCAGGACTTGAGGTAAAACAGCTCGTTTTAGTAGCTTTTGCTAATTTTATCCTCCTAAAATCAAGAGCAGCTTCTCCTCTCAGCCCTTGGGTTCTCTCATCTCAGCACTTCAAACTGCAGGACACTAACGTATCGGTTCGGTGTTGCTAGTCCTGTCTGAGGAATTCTGATTCTTTTTAAATATTTGCGCACTTACTGTTTTTAAATATTGTCTTTTCACGGTGTAGGCCACCTTAAGAAGAAAGGCAGGGTAAAAAGATTTTAATCATTTCAATTTCCCTTGCACTTTCAGTATCTCGATATCGTTAAGTGGCTGAAGAAGATGGCTTAGCCCCTTCGCGATATCGGGAAATTAAGCATTTCCGCTGCTCTTCCATGGCTGCTATTACCTGAACATCCTGATCCTTAATCCTGTTTTTCTTTCCTTTCCTTCAGGGTACCTCAGACCACTGGTGTAACCATGTGGTCTCAATACAGGGAGGTAAGAACCAAACTCCCCACCCCACCATTTAGACACTACCTGCAGTGAGAAGCAGAGGAGATCAGGACCTACAATGTGGACATGTCTTTTAAAAAAATATAATGGTTCGACGTATTTTTCAGAGAATCAAATTCGCTGTACAGAAACGGAAGCTGTCCTTCCCTCATCTGGGCTACTTCACCAAGTAAGATCTGTTTGTTGGTCTAGAAGAGATGGAACATTTCTCCAAAAATGTCAGCCGCTCTACGGTGCTTGCTGCATCCATGAATGTTAATTTCCATCCGGACACCCCATTTAACCACCGCTTTCCTGGAATCCAGAGTTACACCCGTTACCTCTGCTTAAGAGGAGCGTATCCGCGCTGCATGGTGAGGCGGCTTCTGATTCGGGAATCAGCGCCAGCCCTGCTGTTAGGTGCGCTGAGACTATGGCCTCAGGCGGCAGAATGTTGGGGGCTGGCAGCAAACTATCCTCATTCCTTTTGGAAGATGAGTCGAATCACCCATCCCTGGAGAGGGAAGCTTGAGAATTTTCCAAGGAGTTCCAGAATGCATAATTTTTCTGGTTATCCTTTCCTCCCAACGGCCTCAGACTGCTTAGAGTCAAACATTTTTGGGGGGGAGAAAAAATTATTTTAAAGTTTTGCAGCTTCTTTAAGGACAGACACGTGCATTTCAGTGCGAGCTTCTCATGGGTTACGAGGTACCTTTTCAGGGTGTCTCTTGGACGACAGGCATTTTAAAAGCCGGCGAGTCCCATTGGAGGTCTTTAGCAAATCAAAGTAACTTCTTGTTCACTTAGCAATGACGCTAACAGGTTTTTATAATGTGAGGCATTTAAAGAGTGGATTCCTGCTGCCACCCAGTGAGTTTCCATGGCCAAACAAGGATTTGAACCCAGATCTCCTGTGTCCTGTGGCTCTTCTACGGACCTTAATAATCATTGTGTGCTGTCGAGTCAATTCTGATTGACTTTTCAGGATTTTCCAGGTACAGGGACGTGGTTGACTCTTCCCTTCTTCTAGTGGTGCCCTGAGACTGTGCAGCTTGCCCAAGGCCACACAGGCTGGCTCTTTTCCCTGAAGTCACAGTGGGGGGAATCGAACTCGCAACCTCTGGCTCCACAGTGAGATGCCTAAACCACTAAGCTATCCAGCCATCTATTGGTTGCCATTATCGATTCCGACACGGTGACACTTTTCAGAGTTTTCTTGGTAGAGAACACTCAGGGGTGCTTTACCCTTCCCTTCCTCTAGGGGCGCTGTGGGATTGTGCAGCTTGCCCAAAGCCACCCAGGCTGGCTCTTCTCTCTGGAGGTACAGTGGGCGGGAATCAAACTCGCAACCTCTGGCTCCAAGCCAGCTCTAAGTACCTTAACAAACTACAGACCCCAGGACTTCTTAGGATGGAGCCTTGACAGTTAAAGTGGAAGAAGGCGACTATAATTGTGCAGTGTAGATGGTGCTAGGACATCTTCTCTCCCTGACCGTTGTCTGCAGTTAGCATCTTGTTTCCGGGAACAGCCTTTTTTTAAAAAAGCATTAATCATCTCCCAGGATCATATCAATTTTCACAGTAAGAGCTTTTTAGTGTTCAGTGCTAATATGATTCCCTGGGATAATTCACTTATTGGAAGAGATTGTAGTGTGGAAAACACCTTCCTCTTGTGGGATTCATAGGTACACAAACACACAACACAGATACACGCCATGTCCAATAGCCTTCAACAACGTCAAGAATGAGGTTCTTTGTGTAATTCTGGTGGTGGGGGCAGGTTGTCCCCTTCTGCCTAACAGTAGGGCCAGCCCTACCACCTTGAGCACAGAGGCACATGGCCCCCCTCATTGTAAACTTTAGATTTGCTTACCATCTTTGCCAAGTTGTTGTTGTTATTTAGTTGTTAAGTCGTGTCCGACTCTTCGTGACCCCCATGGACCAGAGCATGCCAGGCCCTCCTGTCTTCCACTGCCTCCTGGAGTTGGGTCAAATTCATGTTGGTCGCTTCGATGACCTTGTCCAGCCATCTCATCCTCTGTCGTCCCCTTCTCCTCTTGCCGTCACACTTTCCCAACGTCAGGATCTTTTCCAGGGAGTCTTCTTGTCTCATGAGATGGCCACAGTATTGGAGCCTCAGCTTCGGGATCTGTCCTTCCAGTGAGCACTCAGGGTTGATTTCCTTCAGATAATGGATAGGTTTGTTCTCCTTGCAGTCCAGGGGACTCTCAAGAGTCTCCTCCAGCACCACAATTCAAAAGCATCAATTCTTCGGTGGTTGGCCTTCTTTATGGTCCAGCTCTCACTTCCGTACATCAAGTTACCAAGTTACATCAAGTTTGCCAAGTTAGTGTCTTCCAAAGGTCTTATATGACATTTCACATCTTCCCCCAGCTTTTAATTACAGCCGTTGCCCTCTAAGGCATCTGGAGGCCACCAGCTGAAGGAAGGTTGGTAGAATTAAGATCCGGATTCACTTCTGGGGTCTCCAACCCTACCTTTAGCCAACTGTGTGCAGCGAGACATCCCATTCACTTCCTTTTCTAAATCCTGAGTTTCTCCACGGTTAGTTCCATCAATCAGGGTCACAGTTTTAGCAGCATCCCATTCTCCCAGATGACGGGTTTCTAAATCCTGAGTTTCTCCACGGTTAGCTCCATCAATCAGGGTCACTGTTTTAACAGCCTCCCATTCTCCTATCTGATGGAGACAAAACCCGAAATCAAGAGGCAGTCCTTTGACACAGAGAAGACCCCCCAGGATGTCATTAGGAACACCTTTGTGATGTCACAGAGCAGGGGCAGGCAAGAAGTGGGAGGAAAATAATCATCACAAACCTACCATTACCTTTATTTGAGCCACAGGGCCAGCCTGGAATGAGTGGAGACGGAAGTCCAGATTTTTCAGGTCGGGATGGCCAGAGCGTGGCTTTCCAGCGTTCCTGCCCGTCATCTATATGTTGATGACGTTTGCTGCCCGCCGTGTTTTGAAGACTCTCCTTTCCCCGTGAAAGTCATTCCTCTGTCCGGAGAAGCGTTTGAATTTCATGGAATGATGTAGTCAGAACCAGCCTATAAGACCCTCGAGTCCAAACTCTTTGCTCAAGGCCGGTGTCCAGAACAAAGCAGATCTGGGAGAGGGTGTCCCAGGTTATTCTTGAAAGCCTCCAGCACTGGAGTGCTCACTACTTCCTGGTGTGATTGGCTCCTTTGTCGTACTGCTCTAACAGTTAAGAAGTTTTTCCTGATATTCAGCCTAAATCTAGCTTCCTATAGCTTGAGCCTATCGCTGTGTGTCTTGCACTCTGGGACGATCGAGAACAGATCCTGCTCCGCCTCTGTAGGACTAGTACCGTATTTTTCCGTGTATAAGACTATACTTTTGTCTAAAATCTTTAGACTAAAAATTGAGGCTCGTCTTTTACACAGAAGTAAGCTGAGGAGAGAACAAAAACAAGTGGAGGGGGAAAGCAGGGATCAAAGCGATCCTGCAGCGCTTTGATCCCTTTCCCCCTACACTTGCTAAGCCCCACTTATTTTTCTTAATTTTGGATTAGAATAGTGGGGGCGTCTTATACATGGGGGCGCCTTATATACAGAAAAATACGGTCTTTGAAAAGTGCTATCCTGTCTCAGGATAGGGGGGGTTATCATTCCAAGAATTTGGGCCACCCTAGTCTCAGGATGATGTGGAAGGACATGTTAACTGCTTATATAATAAGATTTACTTTTGATCTGGGACTCCTATTTTACTTGATTTGTTTTCCTGTGTTTTTTTTTCTTGCACTTTGACCTTTTATGGCCTCTTTTTGTCAACTAGGGTCTTCAGCCAAGACTCTTCTGCTTCGGAGATGAGGGTAAGCTTCTGAATATATCTCTTCTTTTGCCCTGTCACTCCTGAAGGTTGAGTTTTACAACCTATCTCGGCAGGGTGACACTATTAAAATAAATCAGGAGATAATCTGTTTGTTTTTAAAATTTGGCTTAAAGTCACATGGTAGTCACATGTGTATCTCTTCTTGGGAAAACTGTTAATCCATTTTTAAATGGTTCTGTTTTTTTTAATTATTTGTTAGTATCTTGCCATCTGGCATAGTGCTAGTACTGAATGACAGATAGAAAACACAATTAAAACAGAAGTTTCCCTGCACACACCCATGAGGCGAGGAAGGAGAAGGAGCACGGAAGGCACGCCAGTGAGTGGCGAACCCCACAGACACAATTTACACCAACAGAGGTGTTGACATATGCCAAAGTGATTGAAAATAAATTGATTTCACAAGGGATTTTAAATATATGACCCTCTCGCCGCTCGGTAAAATCCTTCACTTTTCAACAACAACAAAAAGCTTCCTAAGCCAAAAATAAATAAATAAATCTGTGCTTCCATGTGTACCATGTTGTCCTATATTAAACCCGATTCAAGTACTTTTTTCTCCCTATGTGTAGCCACGCTTTTAGTTTCAGGAAAGATTTAAAAAATTATTCCCTTGGAAACTCTGTCTTTTCCCTTGAAAACTGTGGAGTTGGTAAGAAGGAAAATAAGATGGTGTGGTGCTTCTTTTCCACCACTGAGCTGTGTGTCTTGACCAGTTGTATTGCTGTCTAAGGGTGTACGGTATTCACTTTAAGGGTTGCAGGTTGGTGGGGTTAGAGAAACATAGCTCTCTTTGGGAGAACGGATTCTAACCGACAAATGTCGCTTACAGAAAAAGTCGAAGGAGGAACCGGTGGTCGAGCAGCCACGGAAATGGGATCGTGAACCGATGTACGAAACCAGGACGACTCTGAGAATTCTTCGCCCTCTTTTGAGTCTTGGGGTTGAGGTGCAATGAGCTTTGACCCCCAAACAGGGAGGGGAGCAGAATCGGGCTGTGGCAACCCATGTGGAGAGTGTCTGGGGGAATCACGTCCCCCCAGGAAAATGTTTAGATATGACCCAGATTTGGACTACGAAAATCAATTTATTTGCTGATGGATCGCTAATCAGTTAATTCCATTGGGTTTCTCTTCATTCTGATGGCTTCAGTCCCGACACTTTTGAAGGGATGGGGAGCCAGTCCCTACTTCCTTGCTAAAGCTGCCTTTTCATAGAGTAGGACCCCCTAATCCATGGGGGATCAGTTCCAACCCACTGCAGATGCTCAGAAATACGGATTATAGTGCTTCTATAATAGCAAATGCTATAGATAGTATGGCTTCTGGCTCCCTCTGGTAGCCAGTTCCGATAACTTCATAGTTAAAAATATGTATTTTGGGGAGTTTTCTTTTTTATATTATTAATGTTTTCAGAACATAGATAAATGGATCAGTGGATACTGATCCTGCGGATAATGGGGCCCTGTTGTATGTCACTGGCTGGGAATACAGTAGAAGCAGCTGAGGCTGGATGAGGCCCTCCCCAGGCCACATCTGGCCTTCTGGGGTTGAAGCAGAGGTTCATGAGAGTCTATATAAGTTCTATATGGATACAGGAGAACATTTTTTCGTAAACTGTCAAGGTCTTTAAAAATCAGAGTAAACACATATTTGATCTGGTCCTTTTATTTTTCTTTTGCCTTAAAGGTTATCCAGATTGTTCACCATGATACCAAGTGATAGTCACCCCAAGGTAAGTATCTGAACATGCTTCTTGTTTCGTTCCACCAATGTTGGATAGTGGAACTCCTTGATATGTCTCTAATCTCTTCCAAGAAGGCCATTCTTGTGGTCTTGAGTGGCCATCATGTTCACACAATCACATTCAACCACGGTTTATGGTGACCATGGATTAATCCATAAGTCACCCTGCAGGGGACCAAGCAAACCATAGTTTGATGTCTGCTTCTCTCCCATTCTTTTTGTCAGCTCTGGTTTCAAGGTGGATAGTAGGAGAAACACGCCAGAAACAAGCCATAGTTCTGAGTATGGATGTAACAACAAGCCATGGTGGAAACAAGCCCAAGTGTGTTAGCTATAAATAGCATAACTAACAAACTATGGTTTGTTTGAGTAGTTTACCAATCATGGTTTGTTTGTGGGGATGTGTTCAGACTCATCAACAAGCCCTAATTCAACCATCTATACCTTATTTGCCATTACATGCAACTCATGCCTGATGGGCACCAATTAACTCATTCATCTAAGGGCATGTCTTAGGGAGCGTGGTGGCACTGCGGGTTAAACCTCAGAAGCCTCTGTGCTGCAAGGTTAGAAGACCAGTCGTCGAGTAGATTAATAGGGACCACCTCGGTGGGAAGGTAACAGCGTTCCGTGTCTAAGTCGCACTGGCCATGTGACCACGGAAGATTGTCTTCGGACAGAACGCTGGCTCTATGGCTTGGAAACGGGGATGAGCACCGCCCCCTAGAGTCGAACACGACTGGACAAAATTTGTCAAGGGGAACCTTTATCTTTATCTAAATAGGTAACACCTCGGTGTGAAGGTCACGGCGTTCCATGTCTAGTCGCGCTGGCCACGTGACCACGGAAACTCTTCGGACAAACGGCTTGGAAACAGGGATGAGCACCCCGCCCTGGAGTCGGACACGACTGGACTAAATGTCAAGGGGAACCTATACCTTTACCTAAGGGCATGCCAGTGCCCAATTTGTGATTGGCAGGTAGCTCAAGAGCTGGCCAGTCAAAGCACAGTCACTAGTTGAGTCTGAATATACTTGTGTGGAACAAGACTAGAGATGGGAAAAATAATTCCCAGAGGACCTTATCACCCTCTCTGTCATTGGTTTCTCCATGTTAAGAAACTCATGTTTATGTGTAGTCTCTAAATGTGAGCAAGAACTCTGGAATATCTTGGTTGTTACTCAAACGGAGACAGGAGGTTCTCCTTTTCAGGTATTTTGTTTTCCATCTGCAGAGAGCAATGATAGAAAAGTGAGGGGTCATTGCTCCTTTTAAAGCACGTTGATAACTAACTACCAGGCAGGTGATGACACAACAGGGTATACAGTAGGTTCCTCATATCTGTGGGGCATTAGTTCCAAGTCCTCCTCCACAGCTGCTGAAAAACACAGATTATAGCCAACACTATTCTAATACTGTACAGGAGTGAAAAGAATACATAGCATGGTCTCTGGCTCCTCTCATGGCTAGGTCTGGTAATACATCATGAAAATACATATTTCTAGGGGTTTTTTCCTTTTAATGATTTGAATATTTTCAGACGGCAGCTAACTACAGATACTGATTCTGCAGATATGGAGCTCCTGCTGTATTTAGGGTGTTATTAAAGGTAGATACATGCTGTGTTTTTAAGAGTAAATCAGGCAGTGAATTTTCTAGGATTGGATGGAGCGGAAAAGTCTGTGTATGGAAAGCCCTTTTCTAACCTCTTCTGTTGCAGAAATTTGCACTACGTTGGCCAACAGGGATAACGCAGAGAGAGTGTAACCTTTCAAGGTATGGAAGAAAAATGCACCGAGAGGCTGGGGGCCTCTTTCAGATTTGGGGCGAGAAGTAGAAATTTGCCGTACAGGGCTGGAGACATGCGTGCAACCTCAGCTGAATTCTGTTCAGGCTGCAGAAATTGGGTGGCTGAGCCGTGGAGCGAGGCAGAAAGTGGGAAATGAAGAGCGAAGAGTGAAATCCTTTTGTTTGGTTCAGGGGTCAGGAACCCCGCAAGGAAAACGGAACAGTTCTAGAATCTGAATCTTTGCCTACCGTTTCTCGGCGGCCACCAAGCAGATAGGTTTGGGCCGCGTGGCGACCAAGATCAAGGGGCATCCACTCACCTTAGACCAGCACGTCGCGAGGATTTTGGGGGATAACTGAATAGCCCTCACTATCCTTCTCTGCTGGTTAAGGGAGCCTGGTTCCACTGGAAAGGGTTACTTTAATGGGAGGTAACTCAGTTGAAGCAATTCTGTCTACCCGGGAATCATTCCAGTCTGCCCCCCCAAAAAAAGAAGAAGCCATACAGCGGGACCAAAAAGACTTGTGTGTAGGTTGGGGTCAGGCTGGAATCTATTTCCCTGCCTGTCCTGTGATTACCAGGAGACAGCGCTGGATCCCCTCCGCCAGTGGTCCAAATTGTGATCCCTTTCTTCATAGGATCACACCGTTGGTTTCTTCATTAGTGCCAGGTTCTATTATCATCTCTTCCGTCTGCACTGGGTACGGATTTTTCAGTAAATCCCTCATGCAGGAGCTATTTTCGACTGAGCCACGGAACCCCCCAAAAAAGGGTCATCATCGTTAGCGAGAACAGCAATCACCCTCACTCTTATCAGTGTGGTTTTAACGCGCTGTTCTACACACCTCTGGAGGCTTTCTCTCAAAACCTGGCACTCTTATAGCTTCAGTAACGAAGGATATGGGTGGAAATTATGTTTTCTTACGTATTAACTGGGCTGGAAAATTGCAATGCTTGTTCAGCTGCCTAAGACGAACTGGAGGGTGAAATCTGGATAGTGAATAAAGAACTCATGCATTAACCATCCTCATCATCATCTTAGAAGCTGGAAGGGATCCTATGGATCATCGTGTCCAACCCCTGCTAAGGAGCCCAGTGGGGAATCAAACTCCCAACCTCTGGCTCCGTAGCCAGAGACCTCAACCCCCTTGAGCTAATCAGCAGCTCGATCTTGGCAGGCTTTCAGTCCCTTCCATATAATACAACAATTTCATGTGAGTCTTCTCTCTCTCTCTCTCTCTCTCTCTCTCTTAAAGGTTATCTAAGGTCACAGGGAGCTCTCTCGAAGAAGACCACGACATGGTAGGCCTCTGAATGCAACTTTTCTTTCCCCTCTATTAGCCGCGAATGCTTGGTGATCAAGCACACTTGAGGCCAGCCTGATTTCGGATTGCAGCGCCCTGTCAGGAGAATTCTGGGAGATGTAGTCCACCTATTAGGGATGTTGACAAGTGGTGCCTCGCAAGATGATGTTAATTCGTTCCGCGAGAAACGTCGTCTTAGTGAAAACATCGTGTTGCGAAACACGGTTTCCCATAAGAATGCATTGAAATCTAATTAATGCATTCCAATGGGGGGGAATTGTCGTCTTGAGGAAAAAAGCATCTTGCGAAATGCATTTTCCCATAGAAATGCATTGAAATCTAATTAATGTGTTCCTATGGGCAAAAAAAGTCAGAACAAAGTCAAATCAAAAAATGTTATAAATATCATAGAAAACAAAAGTCAGAACAAAGTCAAATCAAAAAACGTTATAAATATCATAGAAAACCATTCGTTTTGTGAAGAAGCATCCGTTAATTCGTCTTGTGAAAAAGCATCCATTAAAAAAATCGTCTTGCGAGTCGCGGACCCAGCTGTCAAAAACAGCGTCTTGCATCTTGCGAGTCGTGGACCCAACTGTCAAAAACGTCGTCTTGCGAAAAAGTGTCTCTTTTTAAAAATCGTCTTGCGAAGCATAGACCCAAACATCGTCTTGCAAAAATCGTCCATAGGAAAAACCGTCTTGCGAAGCGCAACAGCGATCGCAAAAACTAATCGTCTTGCGGATTAATCGTCCCGCGAGGCAATCATCTTGCGAGGCACCACTGTATTTGGGTCCGAGTCCCAAGTCTGAGTCTTGAGTTGCTTGTCCCACCCCCACCCCACCCCTCGAGGCGTGCGTGCGTTGAGATGGCGGGCCTGGAAGGGGAGCCAGGTAGCTGTGCATGTGCAGACTTCCCAGATCCGACCCCTGCCTCTGCTGCGCATGTGCTCGAAGTGAAGCTGGGCCTGCTAAACTCTGAGGAGGGCGGCCATAGAAGCTGGTCGGGAAGCCCATCCCTCATAGGGGCTCCTGACGCAACTCAGAAAAATGGGTCAGAGTTGCGAATCAAGTCCCCGGTGTGACTTAAGCCAGACTTGACAGCGCATCGCAGTTCCCCCTCCCTGCCCCCTGGAGAATTCTGGAGTTGTCATCTGAAAAACACATCTGCACACCACTGGTTTAAATCTTAAGGGAGCAGGTCAGGGTTGCTGCTGCGGACATGCGGCCCTCGGAGATTTCTATAGTGAGCAGATGTCAAGGAGAGAATACAAAAAAAAATATGCCGTATTTTTCCGTGTATAAGACTATACTTTTGTCTAAAATCTTTAGTCTAAAAATCGAGGGTCGTCTTATACATGGAAGTAAATTGAGGAGAGAACAAAAACAAGTGGAGGGGAAAGCAGGGATCGAAGCGATCCTGCAGCGCTTTGATCCCTTTCCCCCCACCCTTGCTAAGCCCCACTTAGATTTCTTAATTTTGGGTTAGAAAAGTGAGGGGGCGTCTTATACATGGGGGTGTCTTATACACGAAAAAATATGGTACATCGTAGCGCAGGGGGGCAGGTCTTCTACGGGGAGAAAGGCAGCAAATTAATTAATTAATCAACTAATTCAATAGTATCAGGACAGAAATCATAGTCCTGGCATAGGCGCCTCCTCTCTTCTCTTTTTCATTCATTCCTTGGTTTTGTCCATTTCAGCAGCTGGGGTAAGGGAGAAAAATCCTTTCCTGTCATCATCATTATTAGATAATTCGGAATCAGAATCTCTCACCAACACAAGGCTGCACATACCGACTTATTCCTTAGCTACCAAAAGCTTTATCTGCCTTCTACCTATTCTTAGGACAGAGATGCTGGAAAAACTATTGTCATTATCCTCTTAGAACTGTAAAGCTGGAAGGGACCCTGTGGATCATCATCACGTCTTGTCCCTGTCAAGGAGGCACAGTAGGGGATTCAAACTCCCAAACTCTGGCTCCCTAGCCACAGACATAAACTACTGGGCTATGATACAATGAGGCATGTGGGTCTGAGAAAGGGGATGTGTGTAGGGCCAGGAGCTTTGTGTCCTGGGATAGGTGAGAATGGCGAGGTTTATCAAGAGATTTATCTTGAACTGTATGAATTTTGTTACAGAAAGCTTCAGAATCGCAAGCTGCCGAAATTGAGATGGACGACTTATGTTCCAGGTACGGATCTAGGACTGCCCAGATACGTTGTGCTTACTTTCAGATAGAAGATGGAGGAGGGTTGTCACAGATAATGGGATTGAGGGAGGGAGAATGTGAACCAGAGGAGATCCTAACATCGCCATTACAAAATAAAGTGTTTTCCTCCTGGAGACTACAGTCCTTCAAAGCTGCTGTGTTTGCACAGTAGGAAAGGAGGAAGACCTCACATGAAATTGATTGATTCCGTAAAGGAAGCCACAGGCTTTGGTTTGCAAGGGTTGAGCAGGGCTGTTAACGACAGGGCCAGTAATTCGTAAAGCTGCCATACCTCACGGGTGGCTTGATGGTATGTAACAACACAATATAGGAAACCACAATCCCACAGAATTATTATTAAAAGAAGGTGGCTTTGCTTTTTTCTTTCCATATATAGGGAAGCTTGTGAATAAATGGTTTTAGCCTTCTCTCACGACCTGGATCTTTTCCTTCCTTCCTTCCTTCCTTCCTTCCTTCCTTCCAACGTCTCCAGGAGCCCTGAGATCTTACTGTCTAAATTTGAGGAGCCAGAGGCAGAAACGTTTGCTGAGACAAAAATGGAGGTAGGGACTCTTTAGTATGGGGTAAAAACCAGCTTCCGTCCTGTCCTGCTCCTTCTTGTGTTCATCTGTTCCTTGGGATGGAGGGTGTGATCCAGATTCGTACTGGTCTTGGTGGTAACGGCCATAGCGTGGAAGATGTTAGGCTCAAGAGCAGAAGGTACCAAAATGTTTTTTTTCCTATAGTAGTCCCTGTTGCTGAGTTTTGAATTTCGGTTAAAATGGCTCTAGCTGCACAGCAGAAGTGCGGGACAGCTGCATTCACTGTGAGCAGACTAAAAACAGAGGGGGAAAGAGGCTCTCAGCGGAGAGGCGGGGCTTCCTTTAGATTCAGATGCAGGGAAGGAACAATTGGTTACTACTGAATTGATTGACAGTCCCCCCAACCCAGGAAAGGTCCCTCCAAGCCACACCTTCTCTAAAGGCAGCATGCGAGGCTGAAATAACTCTTAACACTCCCATTGCTAATTTTGTGTCTTCTAAACAATTCCAAAGGAAGCTTGCGTTTCGGTCCTGGTGATCAGTTACCCAAGGAAGCTAATTTCCAAAATATGGAAGCTGGGGGAGTCTCAGGTTAAGACAAATCAACATAGTTTATGGAAGAAATGGTTTTTATCTACTTATTTTTATCTACTTATTAAATGTAAAACTGTGTATATTTTAAATTGTTTTTTATCTTGTATGTTGTGAGCCGCCCAGAGTAGACTATGTCTAGATGGGCGGCATATAAATGCAATAAATAAATAAAATAAATACTTTGCAAGCTTGTCGGAGGAACTGTGAGGCCAGTTGGGTTTATGAAGTGCTTTGAAATCTTGAGGGCCTTATAAAATTGTTAAGAAATATAGGCGGGGATCTTTTTTTATATACTGTATATCTATCTTTCTGGCCTCGGTCCATAAAATCCGTTAGATCCTCCGTAAAGGTACGTTTAGAATGAACTGATTTCTTTCTGCTTTCTTCCCACCTTCGTACGCCCCAAACTAGGAGGCGGAAGCCGCTTCCTCGCATCCAAAGAAATTACAGGCTGGCTCTTTCTACTCTTATCAGGATGGTGGCACGATTGAGCCAGGTGAATAATCCTTTAACTGGGGCTTTCAGCAGCCGAAAATGGCTACGGCTTGGTTGGGAGGCAATAGGAGAATAAAACTCTTATCTTGGAGGTTGCCTTGTTTTTCAAAGAAGCCAAAGATGATTTGTGCAAAAAGGGGAAACAACCTCTGTGCATTTTAGATACTGAGCCGAGTTCCCCTATGTAACTGCCTTCCTAAATATACAGGCATGTTTTTCGAAAGAGCAGGTGACACCGAATTTCTCAGCTTCTTTCCTCTTTTGGAGAGAGGCCAAGCAGAGATATGTCCATTTCAAAGAAAAGCCCAACGGGAAGGTGCGCCCACGCATACGGCCTGTGCCTCTTGGTTTGAAAAACTGGGGTGCGAGATCGAATCCCCAGCTGCCTCGGCTGTAACTTCAGCACAACAGCGCTCATGCAGGCTGGCTCTATACCCGACTTCCATCTAAGAAGGACGTGCCTGGCGAAATCCATCTGGCCAAGAACTTTTGGGCTTTACATCTAGGAGTAACTTTCCGAGCAAATAAAAGGTAGTCGTGGAGTCCAAACAAAATAAAATACAAAGACAGGTGATACTTTTATAGACCATTTTTTAAAAAATCATCATACAATCCGCGAGCTTTCGTGGATTAAAACACCACTTCATCAGGTTTGCACCAGTGTGAAGAATTTAAATGTCCAAAAGTTCATGGATTTTGCCTGGAAAGTTACTCTTAGAAATAAAATCCAAATGGTCTTGTCAAGATGAGGTTCGACAGGCATGTCTCTCTTAGATCTAAGTCAGGAAGTCCTAAGAGTAAATTTCCTGGCCAAACCCCAATAAAACTCTTATCTTGGAGGTTGCCTTGGTTTTCAAAGAAGCCGAAGATGATTTGTGCAAAAAGCAGATTTGTGCAAACCAAACCCCTCTTGCCATGAACTTTTGGATTTTAAATTCTTCACACTGGTACAAAACCTGATGAAGTGTTGTTTTAATCCACAAAAGCTCACAGATTGTACAATGATTTTTTTAAAAATGGTCTATAAAAGTATCATCTATTTTTGCATTCGTATTTCCTGGCAAAACCCAACTTGCCATGAACTTCTAATTCTTTACATCGGTGCACAGCCTGGTGAAGTGGTGTTTTTATCCACAAAAGCTTGCAGATTGTACAGTGGTGCCTCGCAAGACAAATGCCACGCAGGACAAAAAAACTCACAAGACAAATGGTTTTGGCAATGGGGGTTGATGACTCGCAAGACAAATGTTTTCCGTTTTTTTGTTCCTGCCTCATGTTTGCTGATTTTTAAATGTTTTTCTATGATGTTTAAAAAGTTGGTTTTTTGACTGAATTTTTTAAAATCATCTGCACAATATGTATGGCTTTAAAGAGCACTTAATAAACCCTTTGTAAACCAAGTTTGACTTTTTTTGCCCATAGGAACACATTAATTAGATTTCAATGCATTCCTATGGGAAAGCGCGTTTCTCAAGATGAATTTCTCGCAAGACAACATTAACCGTGGAACGAATTAAATTCGTCTTGCGAGGCACCACTGTATGAGGATAGTTGTGGTTTTTTTAGTGGTCTATAAAGGTGTATTGCTTATGCTTGCATTTCTGTTTCGTATTGACCAGGCGGCTCCCATTTTATTTCAATGGAATGTCCTTCTTTTGTTTTCACTTGAATCCCGACAGGTGTTACCAGCTCTGTCTGGAGCATGGGGCAGCGAATCAGCCACTGGCGGATGGCTCACAACCGGGTGAGCCAGGCAGAGCAAAATCTCCAGGTGAGTAACACAAGGATACAACCAACCCTTGGAATGGATCTGTGTCAGGTTGCGGGGAGGTATTGCTGATAGGCTGGATGGGATGACGCAAGACTCCGTTGTTTGTTTTGGGAAGGAGTTCCTTTAGAGAGCAGCGGTTCCCCAACCTCGGGTCCCCAGATGTTCTCGGACTACAACTCCCAGAAGCCTGTGCTGGCCAGGATTTCTGGGAGTTTCAATACAAGAGCATCTGGGGACCTAAGGTTGGGGAGCACTGCTAGAGGGCAGGAAACTGGCATAAGCCTGTATGAGTTGGTGTATTTCAGTAGTTAAGCATGCCTGCCTGTAGAGCCAAGGGTTGCGGGTTCGAATCCCAAGGATGTCTCCCAAGAAACGGGCCAGCCCAGTTCACCCAGAACATATGTGGCTGTGGAGTTATTGATTGATTGATTGATTGTATTTATATCCCACCTATCTGGTCAAACGACCACTCTAGGTGAGTTACATGCGGTCTGGGACTGGCCGACCATTTATAAGTGGTGCCTCGCTAGACAGTTACCCTGCATGACAGTTTTTTCACTAGACATTGACTTTTTGCGATCGCTATAGCGATTCGCAAAACAGTGATTCCTATGGGGGAATTTCGCTGGACAA